GGTAATGGGGGTAGATGTGTCAGATATAATAAGGTTAGCTCAGGATAGAGCAGGGTTCAGAGCTGTTGTACATACAGGGTCACTATGAGTGGCAAGCCACTTGACAGCACATGACAACAACAAAGCATCCTCTGTTTTCAGTCAGGACCCATCTGATATCAGCAATGATACACCTTGTTCCATTTCCTCTTCTGAACCAGCTTGGATTTTTTTCGGCGGTTATTTGTTAATGGACGATTTCAACTAGTTTTTAATCATTGCATCTCTTCCCTCAGCACTATCAGCTCTTGATCATATGCGACTTCTTGAGATGGCTGAATATTAACGAATTCTTTTTGGTTTGATGACTCTGTTTTCTCTCTCTTCTTTTGATCTTGCTTGCATTGTTCGTACTTTTGCTCATAGGATCTTTCACTATTGCAATTTGAGGCTTGGTTGGGCTTGGGTTTGGTTTTTTTTTCTTCTTTCTTTTCTTCTGTTCTTTCATCTTGAGAAATGCTGAGCCTGTTCATTCCTTATGGTTTTTTAACTCCAAGTCTCTGCATATTTCATATTACCTTAACTTTGTATCTCAAGTTACCCTTTGAAATTTTATGTTGAGCAATTTTACTCCCATCATTTCTTCCTTTTATGTTAGTTCTCTGTATCAAAAAGTGAGTTTCAGAGTCTCTTCTGACACCTGTTTTGGCCTTTGCTCTATTTTATGTCTTTTAAATGACCTTTTGCTTTCTTCATGTATGATGTCCTCGATGTCACCCCGTGAATGATCTGATCTTTGGCCTTTAGTTATTGGTGCTCAGTGTACCAGATCTTCTCGAGATGGTCTCCAAGTTCTAGTGGGATATCCTCATGATTGTACTTTTAGTCTTGTGAGCTTATTTTAATTTCCCTCAGCTTCTCCTTGAATTTGCATATGAGTGATTAATGATTGGCTCTGCAGCTAGATCCTGACCTTGGCAATGAGCTTCTGCATCATCCCTCTCCACAAACGGAGTCAGTCTGATTCCTGTGGATGCCATCTAGCGAGGCCCGCAGGTGCAGTCACTGTGTGTGTTGTTGAAAAGGGGTATTTACATACCTAGGAACCCAGACTCCCCCCGCCTTGCTCCTTCCCACAAGCCCACTCAGTTTTAATACCCTGATGTGTGTTCTGCCTCATTTGTCTCCATGTTCGTATAGCCAACCTACCTCTCGGGGAAGTGCTATTTTTTACAAAACTTGCATCATATTCTGTTGTTGTTGTTATGTGCTCTCGAATGGGAACCAACTCATAGCTGACCCTCCAGTGGGTTTTCAGAGGCAGTAAATCACCGGAGAGGATTGCCTATCCTTCTTCCCCAAGGGAGCAGCTGGTAGATTTGAACCGCATTCCAATGAGATTGCAGAGCAGCTTTCTACCACTAGGCCACTCAAACACCCTAGAGTTGCCATACTCTAGCTATCTTCAATCACCATGGCATGGAAATGCCTCTAGCTGGTGTCTTTCTGTCCATTCTTTGCACAGCCTGCATTACATCCTCGTTGAGGGACTGTAATTACACTTAGCCTTCCCTGGCAGATGAACATTGACTCTTCAGTATTTTGCTGTTTTTAAGGGGGGGGGGCGGGGAATCCTGTAATGAATGTTTTTGTGTCTGGGCATCTTAATGCTGTGAAGCAAATTAGCAGGAGCTTGCTCCCCACCCCCCTTCCTTTCTGTGTACCGTTAAGTTGGATCCCACTGGCTTGGGAGGAGATTTCCCCTCCTTCTCCAGCGGAGCATCTGGCCAAAGCTTGCTTTTGAAGTAAATACACTGCAGCAAGGAAAGGGTGAGGAGAGGCTGGAGCTCAGGGGCAGGTGAGGATGATAGCAGTGGACCTGCGGAAGGAGTGAGGGTGAGGGGCAACTTCTGCTTTTGTTCCTGTAGCTGGGGGTCAGCACATACACGCAGCTCCCTTCCTGAGATGGAAGAGGGCGAATGATTGTATCGGAGAAAACAGAATCCTGCATCCATCGGTATCAGTGAACTGCCTTAAGGACAGCTGTCCCTGGGACCGGACCCTCCTGAAGAGACACTGTGCTGGACGCCCTGGGGAGCAGGGCTGAGCCACCCAGGGCCCTGCCCGCTGGGCTTTCCTGGCCAACTGGCATACATGTCCACTTCATGCACGGGAGTGTGAATTCCCAAAGCCAGGATATGGGAATGAACTTGAGCCCTTCACCATGGTCACATGTTGAGTCCAACATAGTCACCACTACACTCACACAATCACACCTCTGTTCATACACGATCATTCTCACATGTGCAACCATACTCTCTCACAGACACATTGTCATGTGTAATCACACTCATAGTCACACCTAAACAGTTCACACATGATCACACACAGTTGTACACAACCACACGTACACGCACATACACATGGTTGTACACAATCACATCTACACACACATAGGGTTTCACACACTCACACTCTCACGTGGCCATGCATACACACTGTGACACGTAGTTACACCCGGCAAACAATCACACACATAGAGCACATAGTGTCACGCTCACGCACACCAGGCTTACACATACAGTTGCATGTCATCATGCAGTCACCTGCCCCGTCACACACATGATCACACACTGTGACACAGAATGGCTCACAGTCATACACACAGTGACACACAGTCACACATGTACACATGGGCATATCATCTTCACACATGGTCACATGCACTCATACACAGTGAAACAGTCACACATATACACATAGGCATGTAATCATGCTCAAACATGGTCACACACACGCACACAGTCACACACACACACACACACACACACACACACGGACACACATAATCACTCTCTCATACCCTCAGGGGCCAGCAGCTCAGCCTTCCCTCCTGGCCCCAGGCTGGAGCACGCAGCCGTTGCTGTGGGAACTGGGTTTCTGAAATCCTAATTTGGGGGCGTGGAGCTCCTTCTCTGAATATTGCATTAGCTGTGGAGCTTGTGCTCTGAATTCTGAGTCATTTCCCCTCGGGGCTCAGGCTGGGCGGCCAATGAGCAGGTTAGTGAGGATGGCCTGCTGCTCTCTCTGTGTCAGGGGTGGAGAGATGTGTGCTTGGGGGTGGGCTGCGTTTGCAGGCGAAGGCCCGCGTGCACACCTGAGCCGCTTGTGCATGTTGTGCAGGTGTGCGTGCACACACCCTCCTCTGAACGTGAGCCCGTGAGGCTGCTCAGGCTCCAGGCACGGCAGTAACAGGGGGCAGAGCTGGAGGTGGATCCAGTAAACCTATGCAAAGCAGCCGTGACTTAACATTCAGCAGCTGTGTCTGTCTGTACCAAGGGCTGAGCGTCAAAAGGACGAACGAGTCGGGCTTGGAGGAAGTATAGCCAGGCCTCCTTAGACGTAGGTATAGTAAAGCTTCATCTCACATATTTTGGGCTCATTGTCAGCAATGGCCAGTCCTTGGAAAAAGATGTCTTAATGCGAACAGTGGGTCAGACATAGCAAAGATCAGGAAGGAGACCCAGGATGGGGCGAGGTTCAGCTCTTTTATTCACGGCATGGCTGAGTCATCATCCACCAGACAGCAGCATCTAACGACAAGAAAGAAGTCTTGGTACGCACTGATATCTTCACACCGAACACAAAAAGATTTACTTCTCTGTCACATCGAGTTCCATTGAATCGACATCCTCTTCCGTCAAACCGCAGCTGTATCTGAAAGATAGGGTCTCTAACATCACCACCAAACAAACACCACCTGCCACCGAGCCAGCTCCGCCTCACGGGGACCCACCTGTGTTGGAGGAGAATCGCACTCTACAGGGCCTTCAGGCTGGCTTTTCCAAGGTGCCCCTGGGTGGACTTGAGCTGCCCGTCTTACAGTTATCAGACTTCTCATCCCCCACCGGGACACGGGGGAAAGGGATGGCAGAGGCTCAGTAGTAGCTTTTTGAGAAACTGCCTTGGCCCAGAAGGGCACACATCTTCTGGCCAGATGCCAGTGGTGCCAGCCTCACTGTAGGACCAGCTGGGGGTGAGGAGGAGCTGGTCTGTGAGTGCAGCGGTCCCACCGGAAGCCCTCCCTATGAGCTTCTGCAGACCAGAGCACCTGGCCGTCAGTGGTTCAAACCCTGCCATCTGGGGGACCTCAAGTGATGCACCAGGTGGACCCCGACTGGTAAAAGAACTCTCAAAACGGAGTGTGTGAGGAGGACTTCCTTATGAAGGGATTCTTTCTAGCAGATCATGCCATAAACCAGCGTTAAGAGCAGCTGTGCTCTCAGCACCCCCAGAGGACAAGGACAGGAAATAGCAGGGACAGGGTTTGGGAGGAGATCGTCATGAGACGTGGTGACCTTCATGTGAGGGACACAGCCTGACCACTGGGACTTCACAGGCGGAAGTGAGAGGAATAAACAAATAAGCACTCGACTCTGCTCTCCACCCTCCCTCCTACCCCTGCTGTGGCTCCCTATCGGCTGAAGCCCACGGAGGCTCTAAAATGTTATCTTATGACGACAATCTGGAATAAGGGATGCGTTACAAAGTGAATTGTGGGAGGTGGAGAGGAAGAGGGAGAAAAATGTTCATCAATGAATGAATGAAAACTCAACCTTTCTGTAAGCTTTCATTAAAATCGCAATAAAAATAAAGATTAAAAAATTAAAATGTTTATCTTAATAATAATCTCTATTATGTATGTCAGGCACGTTAGAGATGGTTTTATTTTTTCCAATTTAGTTTCCAATATTTTCCTAAGTGTTCTCACTAACAAATGGGGACTCTGGCACAGAAAGGTTAAGTAACCTACCCGTGGTCACACAGCCACATGGTCACAGAGAGACTATCTGATCTTGAAACTCTGCCTTCCTCTGATTTCTGAAGATGCGTGAGCATTTGACAGGGAGGTGGGGGTGAGGGATGCTGCAGCTCTGAAATTGGAGCATTTTCCTTGTGTTATAGTGTTGGCATCTGGGGTCCAGGACTCGTCTTCCCAAGGCCCTCACCCTGCTGTGGCGATGGCTCCCTGCCGTCCTGTGCCCACCAGGCTGCTGTTGTTTCTTTCAGGTCCCGCATCTCCAGCCCCACCTGGCCAGCTCAACACCAGCGGTGCAGAGAGCAAACCCTCAGAGCCAGGTAAGGAAGCAACCCTTCTGGCGGTCCACAGGCTGCTTTTCTAGATTGTATAGGTGGTCCCTCAGGATGTCAGCAAGCGAAATAGACTGTCAGAGTGTCTGGGAGGTTCCCTGACTTTAAAAACAACATCTGGACTTCCAGCACTAGGTTCACTCTGAGATCTGAAAAGCATTTAACATTTTTGTCCATATTTTCGTTGGTGTGCATGTTGTTGTTGTTATGTGCTGTTGAGTTGCTTGTGACCCATAGTGACCCTATGTACAACAGCCCTAAACTCTGCTCTATCCTGTGCCAATCGCACTGTCTCTGACACTCCCATCCCGATTACCCCAGTCACTGAATCAATCCATCTCGTAGAGGTCCTTCCCCTCCTGTGCCTGCCCTCCACCCTCCCAAGCATGATGTCCTTCTCCAAGGACTGGTCTCTCCTTACAACATGACCAAAGTATGTCAGACGAAACCTCAGAATACTTGCCTCCAAGGAGCGGCCTGATTTAACCCTCTCCAGGATGAACCTTTCTGTTCTCCTAGAAGTCCATGGTACCCTCAATACTCTTCTCCAGCACCACAGCTCAAAGGCATCAATTTTCCTTCTATCCTCCCTAGTCATTGTCCAACTCTCTGATGCATGTGATTGTGAAGACCATGGCCTGTATCAGACACATCTTGCATACAATCATTCAAATACATTGAGTTTCATGCATGTACATTGTCTTTCAGACGATCTTTCCTTTACATTGTGTTTTGTTCATGTACATTGTGTTTTATACCACTTCATATACATTGTATTTTAGATAATTACTGTTAATCTATGCCTGTTAGCACCCTGTCTTTTCAGGTCCCCATTGCATCTTTCCTGTTCCCCATCTGCTCACTCACCTCTGCTAGTCAGTGATTTCTCTTCTTCTCTCCTTTCCACCCCTTCTCCCGTTCCCCTTCTCCTTTTGAGCATTTGTACACATCTCACACAGTTACCCTGTTTTGACAATAATAGTCTTTACAGCATTTGTCCTTATGAGACCGAGTCATTTGATGCAGCCTAATGTTCTCTAGGCTCTCCCAGGTTATATGTTGTTGTTATGTGCCGTCGAGTCGTTTGCGACTCATAGCGACCCACGTTATATAGTATTTTATGAAATTGTTGTTCCTGAGAATTATTATCTTTGAGAGGCCGCTGATATAAAGACACTAACACCTGGGCAAGATGCTCTGTTCAGATAACACTTTATGAACGTTGGCTGAGAACAAACTAAAGAAACATTTGTGGGGACCCCCAGGTCCTCCCCCATGTGGACTCTTTCCTTGCTCTTCAGACATTTACTTGGGACCCGCTTTGTGCCGAGCTCCTCCTGGGAGGCAACCCTGGGGAGGTGGTTCCCACAGTGGGCTCTGGGGGAGGGAAGAAGACCACTAGCTGAAATGCCCCCTAACCTCCTGCCTTATATGGACCTCCTCCAGGGTTCTCTCTATGCAGTTTCCTTAAGGAGATGGTGGGACCATCCAGTGTAGCAACCCCCAAACCCAGAACTCCACTTTGTAGGTTTCCTGGAGACCTGCCTAGGGCAGGTTTGTGAGGCTGTCACGCACCCCAAATCCAACCCATCCTGACCTCTAGGGCCACCTCAGAGCCCCACTTTCTCCTGGTTCTAAGAAGCAGAGGGTCTTGGAGGGTGCTGGGATCAGCCAGCCCCGTTTTGGAGAAGGGAATGATGAGGTCACGCCTGGCCTTGCAGGAGAGCGGCTGGCGGTGCGCCTGGTGAACGGGAGCAGCGGCTGCAGCGGGGCGGTGCAGGTGTGGCTCGGGGAGGCCTGGGAGCCGGTGTGCGGGGCGCTGTGGGACGGCCATGCCCCCGAGGCCGTGTGCCGAGCGCTGGGCTGCGGAGGGGTGCTGGAGGCCACCGTGCAGCCTGGCCTGCGCACCATGGAGCCCCTTGCGCCCACCTCGGGGAATGCCAGCGGGACCCCCAACGCCACCCGCGCCTCCCTGCCCGCCATCCTGTGCCAGGGTCCTGAGTGGCGGCTCTGTGAAGTGATGGAGCACGTGTGCAACAGCGACACGGTACTGGCCCAGGTCACCTGTGAAGGTAGGTGTGGCACACCCAGGCCTACAGCCACTGCCCCTCGCTCCTGGCCCCACCCCTGGCCCAGAGCCTTGTTCTCTGGCCTCTAGTTCCCTACCCACACTGTTCTCACCCCAGAAGATTCTGGAATCCCCAGTATCCATAGGTTCCATTCTCACACTTCTCCCTCTAGCCAGCTAGCCAGATGCACCCAAGATCCTGACCGCTCATGTTCCGCAGTCCTAACCAAGCCTCCATCTCTACTCACTGTGGCCCCCACATGCCTCATAGACAGGTTTTGAGGCCCTAGTACTGCCCCTCCACAGCCCTCAGCTCTGGTCTCCAGGCCCATCCCACCCCCCAGTCCAGCTCATTCCCCCAAGTCCTGCGTACCCCAAACCCACTTCCACTAGGCATCTCTCTCCCAGGATCCACCGCCCCACCACCAAGTGACCCAGCCCCATTCCCTCCTCTACTCTGCCTCTGCCCTCCCTCCTCTCCCCTCCGCCAGCCACCCACAGACCCCCTCACAGCATCCACCCTCCACCCACAGAGAACCGCGCGTTGCGGCTGGTGGACGGCGGCGGCAGGTGCGCAGGCCGCGTGGAGATGTTGGAGCACGGGCGGTGGGGCTCGCTGTGCGACGACACGTGGGACCTGCAGGACGCCCACGTGGTGTGCCGGCAGCTGGGCTGTGGCTGGGCGGTCCAGGCTGTGCCTGGCTTGCACTTTGCCCCCGGCCGTGGGCCCATCCACCGGGACCAGGTGAACTGCTCCGGGGACGAGGCCTACCTGTGGGACTGCCCCGGGCTGCACAGTGACAGCTACTGTGGTCACAAGGAGGACGCAGGCGTGGTGTGCTCAGGTGAGTGGGTGACGGGGTGGACACCTGTGAGCAGTTCCTGGGGGCCTGCTGGGTGCCAGGCCTGCAGTGAGAATGGGGCACCAGGGCTTGGACAGGCTCAGGAAGGACAAAGACCAGCACAAGACACTGTTATCCTTATGATGCTGAGGCAGACATTACTGATAGGTACATCCTGCCCCGGAGAGGCGCCAGTGGGAGGGGCCAGGAGACCCCACATCAACCAGCGTAAGGTGGCAGATGCCCTAGGAGAGGAGATCCAGCCAGAGGCAGCCACACAGTGGCACGGTGACTGCAGCAGTGGGCTCAGACAGCTTGGAACGTGAGGAGGGCAGAGCCTGGACAGATTCCTTCCTGTGTGAGTCAGAATCTATTGATAACATGTTGGACTGCTCACTGAAAGGTCAGAGGTTCGAACCTACCAGCTGCTCTGCTGCAGGACAGTGGGCAGTCTCCTCTCCTAAACCAGTCAGAACCTCGGAAACTAGATGGAGGGTCGCTGAGTTGATCTTGACTCCAGCTTTAGTTGGCTTTTTTGAACCACAGAGCAACCCAGAGGGGTGAGGTAGGGACTGGGAAGAGGTGATTGTACCAGTGGGATTGATCCCGTGGCTCAGAGCAGAGCACGCAGGGGAGAGGCTAGAGAGAAGGCAGCCCCAACACCAGATGCACAGAAATCCTGAGGCTTGAGTTAGAACTCGGGCTCTGACTCGGGGCTTCTGCAGGTTTAACAGGGTCCTGGGTGATGCTGCTGCTACTGGTCCACCAGCCACACTTAGAGGAGGAGGGGAGGCTGTTGGGCAGGCGAGATGCCTGATGCACAGGAATCCAGAGGCTCGAGTCAGGACTCAGGGTGCGTGGACAGAGCTTGGCGTCCCCCAGATCCCCAGACAATGCTGACCCTGCTGGTCCACAGACCTCACTTTGAGGAATGAGTGCAGAGAAGGCGCCCTCCAGACACAGTGGTTAATACTCTACTGCTGACTGTGGGGTGGGCAGTTTAATCTCACCAGCGACTCTAGGGAGAAAGTACCTGCTCCAGTAAGGGTCTGCACTTGGGCGACCCTGCAGGGTGGCTCCACTCTCACACAGGGCAGCTATGAATGGGCATAGAATTGATGGCACACAGAAAAACAGCAACACATGATGTCAGTGTCAGAACAGAGAAGGTGAGGCTTTGAGGAGAGCACACAGCTGAGTCTGCATGTGTGGGTCTGGGCTGTGGGCTGGTATTGACCGGAAGGATCCTGACCTGCCCCTCCCCCCAACTCCCCCCACAGAGCACCAGTCCTGGCGTCTGACCGGGGGCGCTGACCTCTGCGAGGGGCAGGTGGAGGTCTACTTCCGTGGGGTCTGGAGCACGGTGTGTAACAGTGAGTGGTACTTGCCGGAGGCCAATGTGCTTTGCCGCGCCCTGGGCTGTGGGGCCCTGGTGACAACACCCAAGGGGCAGCCCCACTCCCTGTCAGGCCAGATGTACTACTCGTGCACCGGAAGCGAGCCCACCCTCGCCCACTGCTTCTGGAGGTTCAACAACCCCAACCTCTGCAGCCAGTCGCTGGCGGCCAGGGTCCACTGCTCAGGTATCGCCCTGTCCCATCCCCACCCCTGCTTAGGTCAGGAATGCCACTGAGATCCACATTCCTCGAACCTTTTAGCCCGAGAACAAGGGCTTGGACTAGCTCAGGAACAGCAAATACCAGCATCAGAGGCACTCTTGTCTACAATGCCAAGACAGACATAACTAGCAGATCCGGGCCCAGAACCTTGTCTCAGCCCCAGACTCACTAATCGAGAATTTATCAAGGCGTTATGATATGCTAAGCAGAGACAGTGGTTCCGTGGGAGCCTTCTCAGCTGCCATGCAGTAGCTTTGGGGGCTTAGGAAGGAATTGGGCTGCCAACCCAATGGTACGCTGTTTGAATCCTTCAGCTGCTCTTAGAGAAAACAATAGGCAGGCTCCTCCCATGAGATTTACTGCCTTTGGAAACCCACTAGGGGGTCAGCTGAGAGTCAGTTCCAACCCAGTGGTACATGTAACAACAATATGCTGGAGACCTGGCTACGATTTCCAGAGGAGGCGCCGTGTGCGCAGCCGCCACCATGTGTCCGCAGAAGCCTCTGAGGTGCCAGCAAAGGTTGCAGACTAAGAGGGGCCAGGATCAGAGGCCTGCGGGGTCCACTTCTGAAAACCAGGCCATAAAAATGTCATTGTGTGTAATAGTCACTGCGTGGAGTCACCGTGCACCAGGCTGATCTGACAGCAGCCTCCACCAACAAATAATTCACTAAGTGGTGCTCCCTACTGAGGAATTCGCTTACAGGATGTGACAAATTTGCGTGCTCCAGGCTGGCAGCCATTAGAATACATCATTAAAAAATGATACCGGGAGATACTAGTGTAACTATACTGTGGGTGTGTTGTTAGGAAGTGCCAGACTTCAGAAAAAAGACATGATGTTGGGGGGAGAATGGAGGCTTGATGAAAGAGAGGAAGACCCGCAACAAAATGGTTTGACACAGTGACTGTGACAATGGACTTGAGTGTGATAGACGTGGTGAGGATGGCCTGGGATAGGGCCAGGTTTTATACAGTCTGCTGTTCACACAGCCACCAAGCATCGTATCCCCTTGGTGATACCTCACAACATCACTGTTATCTACCCCAGAGTCCCAGCCGTGTGCTGGGCAATGCCTAGCAGTCGGCATATCTCATTCCAGCCGCTTCTCACACCCCCTCAGCACCATGCTTTCTCACGACGTCTCAGATGGCACTGATTGTAAGCCGCACCATTTGGGTATTTTTTTAATGTCTTTTTTTATTAATTAATTTTAATGAAAGTTTATAGAGACTTTGGATTTCCATTCATTCATTGTTGCACTTTTCTCTCTGCCTAACCTCCCCCTCCAGTTTGCTCTTCTCTTTGAAAAAAGAAAAATTCTTTCATTGTTTATACAATCCCTAGCTCTAAGAGAGATGCATATCAAAACAACTATGAGATACCATCTCACCCAAGTCAGAATAGCAAAATTTAACAGAACAAGAAGCAACAAATGCTGGCAAGGTTGTGGAGAAACTGGAACCCTTATTCACTGTTGGTGGGAGTGTAAAATGGTGCAACCACTATGGAAGGCGGTATGACGCTTTCCCAAAAAGTTGCAAATAGAAATACAGTTTGACTCAGCAATTCCACTACTGGGAATATACCCCAAAGAAACCAGAACTGCCACCCAAGCAGATATATGCACATTCCATTGTTTTATGCACCGTGAAGAAAGGAAGGAAAAGTGCTGCCGGGGCAAACCCGTTACAGGCCACGCAGTGTGACAGTCGTCGGGGGTGGGAGAGGGATCCAGGATGGGGAACAGTGAGAGTCACATGAGAAGAAACAGTGCGCACCTTCCCTGTGCGGTTCAGAGGTGGCGAATTCCAGCTCTGCCTTGTGCTGGGTGGCCGGCTGTGGGCAGTCCCGCAGCTGGCCCAGGCCGCAGCCTCCTACATCACGGGACCCCCGACAGACCAGACAGTACACGTGCCCAGCACATGCCCGGGAGAGCCCCTCCCTGGCCTGTCAGATGAAGATGCTCATTATAATCAGAACAATCTTTATTGTGATTTTAATGAAACTCTACTGAAAAGTTGACTTTTCATTCACTCATTGTTGCACATTAAAAAAAAAATCCAAGTCTGACTGGAATTTCCTAGTACTTTTCAACCAGAATATTCTGTATTTTTAAGTACTCAAATATTTTGTGGTCAGTTTTTAGACTTTTTCTTTTAAAATAAATACCCATTAATTAAAGCCATTTCGTGTCTCCCTTTACCTCCTTTAGGTCATTTTTAAATACCATCTTCTTTTTAAAATTTTATTATTTTTTTGTGTGTACCGTCAAATTGGATCTGACTGGTACAGGAGGAGATTGTTCCTCCTTCTCTCACAGAGCATCTGGTGGATTTGAACCATGAACCTCTGGAATTGCAGTGCAGCTTCCTGCCACTAGGCCACCAGAGCTCCCTAAATACCATCTTCTTAAAAGGGGCTTTTGCTACCAATCTACCCACAACATCCACTCAATAAATACTTCAATATTCATTACTTGTAACTTCATCTTTTTAACCACTGTATTTACCATTTATGCTACTATTTTAAATTGTTGTTGTATTTACCCTCTCCAGATTACTAACTTCAGGAATATGTGGGTTTTTTGACTCTTATTCCTGCCAATGTATGTTCTCTATAAATACAAAAATGTTAAATACTTAACAATTACTAAAATAAGTTATCACTTATTTAAAAAATGACAATGACAGTCGCCTCCTGAGGTTGGAGGAAGGGACAAGCAGCTGACTGACCAGTTGCCATGACAACCCCCATGTGGCAGAGGCCAGGTTTGCTCCTTAGGGTTTCAGTTTCCGAGTTTTTGGACATAGATCACCAGGCCTTTCTTCCAAGGTGCCTCTGGGAACTCTGGGTGGACTTGAACTGTCAACCTTTTTGTTAATGGTCAGGTGTTAACTGTACCATCCAGGACTCCATTAACCCCTTAGTTTAACCTAAGGCCTTCTGAGTACTTAATTGCTGGGAGGGAGGAGAGGCATGGGTATTTCTTTAGCCGTGTCCCCCGTGGGCACTCACCCCAGTTCCAGGACAGCTGTCTGTTTGGCTCAGTCTCTAGGCCTGGCACACCGTAGGTGCTCAGTAAGTGTGTGCTGTGCTAATGAGCTGCGCTTCCTGACAGGATCACACAATCGGTCCTCTACTGGAGCCCCTCTGAGTCTTCAGCCGGTCACTGTGGGTGAGTGTCCCTGGCTATGCAGACCCTCGGGGAGGGGTGTGTGTGTGTGTGTGTGTGTGTGTGTGTGTGTGTGTGTGTGTGTGTTGGCCCAGGAGAGATCTGCCGGTTTGTCCCCACCCCCAACCAGTGTTCTTGGCCTGGGGGACTTGCACCCAAATCAGCCCCACATGGCTCCTGAAAGCCCATTCCTTTGTGGTCAGGAGCCCTGTGCTTCTGTGAGCTCCTGAGGGGAAAGCGGTTAGAAATGAAAGTGACCCTGGCCCAGCAGGTGACGAGGGCCAATGATAGGAGGCAGTGTTGGCAGAGTGTTCCGGACACTGGGCCGAGCTTTATCATCATGGTTCTCCAGCCAGCAGCAGATGGGAGAGGTGGCCTGGTAACCCTCCCGTTCATGATTACCCTTCTACAGAGAAAGAGACTTGGCTCTGAAGCTGAGAGGGCGCTGATGGTGCCCAGCTGGGGTCCCATCCAAGGCTCTGAGCACCTATCAGGCTTGGTCCCTCCACCCAGAACTGTGTACAGTGAGGCACACTTCCTGGGTTCAAATCCTAGCTCCACCACTTGAGAGCTGTGTAGGGTTTGGCATTCCGAAGGTTATTTTGCACCTTTAGTAAATGCTTTTTTTCCAGTTTTCAAACAAAAACAAAAATAAAACAAAACAAAAAACCAAACCAAAACCAACCCCAACTTATGACCGTTGAGTAGGAACTGACTCATAGTTGACCCTCCGGAGGATTTTGAGAGGCTTAGGTTGTGTGAGGAGTGATTGTTCATTTCTCTCCTGTGGAGCAGCTGGCAGATTCGAACTGCTTGCCTTTGGATCAGCAGCACAGCTCCTCACCACTAGGTCATGTAACAAAGCACTTGACATTTCAAGAATCCCACATACGTAGTTCAGTGACACTAATTGTGTTATTTTTAATACCATCCAATCATCAGCTTTATCTGTCCCCAAATTCCCTCATCACCCTTAACGGAGGAGATAATCTTATAAAACATTCAGACAAGAGCCCAGTGGGGGCTTAGTGACTTATTCCTTGTGACTTAGTCCCACCAAGAGCCCCTCAGTCCCACCCGTAGGCCCAGAGGCGACCTTGTCAGGAACAGGGCTACACATCCCCTCCCTGCCTCTTTGCCCACCTTTTCTCAGGCTCCCTCCAGAGGAAGGTGGGCAGGGGGCTAGGTAGGGAGAGAGTATGAGGCAGAAGTCCTGGCAGAAGCCCTGGCACAGGGTGAGGGCAGGGAAGGGGCGTGGATGCTGGGAGCCAGTGCAGGCTGTAGGGTGAGCTCCTGCTGGGTCCTCTGCCAGACAGAACCTCCGCACAAACGACCGGCCTGTTCACGGAGCTTCGCAGATAGTGCATTTCGTACAGAGTGGAGGTTCGGGACACCCTGTGCCGAGCAGGTCTCTGGGCGCCAGGGCTGCATCAGTGTGTGTTCATTCTGAGCTTCCGTGTCACGTTTGGGCCATTCTCTCCATGTCTCATGTTTTTCATCATGCTGTTGCGTGCTTAACAGACTGCGGAATAGTGTAAAGGTAGCATTTATATACGCTGGGAAACCAAGAAAGCGTGTGTGGTTTGCATCAGTGCACTATTCACTTGATTGCAGTAGTCTGGAACCCAAATAGCAATCTCACCAATAGATGCTGTTCACCCCACTTCATAAGTATGCCCTCCTTGAGGTTGGGCTGGGGATCCCAAGGCCTTGGAGGTGCCATGAGAGGTCCAGCCCTTGGCCCATCAGCCCCTCTTTAGCCCAGCCCTTCAAAGCCCTCATTCCAATGGTTTCCCCTTTACTTTCCTCCCATTTCCAGCCTCTCCCACTTGCCCCTTTGCAGATGGAAAGGCGGTGGAAGGAAGTGAAGCCTCCAGGGCAAGAAACACTACTCTCCCATCTCACCCCATCCTCCCCACCGGGGGTAGGGGGAAGTCAGGACCATCTCAGTCCCCTCCCCCACAGACGCTGCCCCTCCCCTTCTCACTGAGCAGGAGCTGGCCCTGCTTCCTGTCCCATGTGGGCTCCAAGTACCCCGTGGCAGCTCCTCCTGTTCTCATACTTCTAGTTCCTTTAGGCCCAGTGGGGCAGGTGGATGGGGAGAAAGAGAGAGAGAGAGAGGGCCATGCTGCAGGGCTGGGACAGAGCACGTCCCGCTGGAAGGGTCAGAACCAGGCTGATCTTGCTCTCTGATGGTCTCTTCCCTGCCAAAGCCACCTCCTCCGGGAAGCCAGCCTCTCTCCTCCTCCCCAGGAAATCAGTGGCCTCCTGTTAAACAGTTCCCATGGTCCCCAATCCAGATCTGCATCATAGCAAGTGTCTCCTGTATTGGCTTGGGTCTGCTTGTCAACTTCCCCACTAGTCACAGTTGCAAAAGGCTGTAACAGTGTCATCAGATTCATACTGTGGGCACCCAATAACTGCCTAGTGCCTGGCACACAGTTGGCACTCAAGAAATGCCTAGTGCCTGGCACACAGTGGGTACTTAAGAACTGCCTAGTGCCTGGCACACAGTGGGCACTCAAGAACTGCCTAGTGCCTGGCCCACAGTGGGCACTCAGTAATTGCCTACTACACAAAGACTCCATGCAGTGTGAAATAATGGTACTGTGGACTAGTGACCAGGGGTGCTGGGGAATGTTTCAGGTAATAAGTTCTTTCAAGCAAGTCATCATTCACTCTCTATGCATTTATTGAGGACCAGCTGTATAGTAGGCACCAAAAAGCAAGGAATGGCAAAGGAAGGGGAAGAGGAGGACGGGTAGACAGAGGAGTAGATTAGCTGTAAAGGGAATGGCGAGACGAGAGGGCAAGGGGAAGAATGTGCTCATTTGGCTTTTGCTCTGAACTCGCCTTCTTGCTTCTAGAACCTTCTCGGCCAGTGGAAATAGAGCCCAGGGGATCTGGGGAGCTAATACTCTTCATCTCCTGCATCATTCTGGGAATCCTCCTCCTTGGTTCATTGATTTCCATCGCCTTCATCCTCTTCAAAGTGAAAGGAAAATATGGTAGGTGCAGTGTTCAGGGAGACAGGCCTGAGGTGTGGCTGGCCCAGAGAACAAGGAGCATTTGTGAGAACCCCGGGAAGGAGGGGAGTGGTCCAGCAATGAGCCCAAATCCCAGGGAGCGTCTTCTGATGGGGAGGATTCTCCCAGCATGCCCTGCAGAGGTGGGCTTCTCAGAGAGGAGCCGACTGTGTGTGGAGGGTGGGTGAGGAGGGCAGAGCCCTGTGGACAGGGAGAGGGCAGCGGGGGGCTCATGCTGACTTGTCGATGCTTTGCCTCCCCTCTTAGCCCTCCCTGCTATGGCGAACCACCAGCACCTGCCTGCCACCGCCCCAGCAGGGATCAGTAGCTATCACAATAATCCCATCACCATTCCCAAAGAAGAAGGTAGGCTGGCACCCTGCCTGGAGCTGGGGAGGTCTGGGGAGGCCAGGAGGATGCGCCCTCTGGAGGGTTGGGGCTACTTGGATCAAAGCAGTGGCCAAACTGGAGGTGAGATCTGAGCAGACCCATGAGTGGCTGGGGGACCTTGAGCAGGTCCAGTTCCCTCTCTGGGTCTTGCTGGATGGGCTGTCAAGTCTGAGTCAACGCAGGTCAAGGTTCCCAGATGATTCTATGGATTCATATGGTTCTATGCCGATTGGCTGGTGCATTCAGCAGCCTGCCCAATCACAGACCAGCAGAGCCTAGGGAAGGTCTACCTGGGACATAATTTCATCCCGGTTTTTCTCTTTGGAAAACAAATTAATACCTAAATTTATACCTCTGAAACTCACACCTTCCCAGTCAAGTTAATTATATTATGTTGTTGTTGTGTGGCCCTTGGGTCAGAATTGACTGATAGCTGACCCTCCAGTGGGTTTTCAGAGGCCTAAACTCACAAAAGAGGAAATTACTCATCCTTTTCCCATGGGGCAGCTGGTGGGTTTGAACTACGTGCCTTTGGGATTGCAGCGCAGCTTTTTACCATGAGGCCACTAGTGTATTGTATATACATGATATTGTACATACGTTTGTATTATACATACATGAGATGATTTTTATTTGAAAGAGCTCAGTGGCATGAAAATCAATACAAAGTTGATTCAAATATTATACACTGCATCCACATAGCCATGTAGTCAGTCACTCACCCACCACAGCAGAGTCCATGCCTACACATAGTGAGTGACCCTCCGTGGGGCCTCCGAGGCTGTAAATCTTTATAGGAGGTTAATGGCCTGTCTTTTCTCCCCATGAACCACTGGGGGATTAAAACAGCTGACTTTTTCGTTAGTGGCCCTATGTCACCAGAAGCTCCTTTAGGCAGCCAGTGTCCCCATGTTTGAGCACATAGTTCCGGATCACCACCTTCTCCCCAAAACCTGCTGCCGTTCACTCAGCTCTGCCTCCAGTAACCCTGCTCAGGATTTGCTGAGATGGTGAATCTTTCTACGAGGAGTCTGCCTGTTTCCTCCCGAGGAGAAGCGGGTAGAGTGAAGCCACTGACCTTTCTGTTGGCACACACACACGTGACGCACTACGTCACCAGAGCCACAGCAGCCACACATTTATGGCCACAGGTCCAGATGGCCACAAGATCCACATCATCGAGGAGACGCCATGCGTAGAGCCCCAGGCTAAGGCCAGGTCCCAGGCAGGTGTCTGTAGAGACGGTTGGATGAGCGTTAAGGATCAGGCTGTATGCTTCTCAGGGCACTGTGGTTGGCCTCACTGTGCCTCCATTTCTCTATCTGTAGGATGGGAGTGATAAGTATTCCATCAGAGAAAGATCACAAGGACAAAATGGCATAATGCTTGTAAATATTAGAATAATCCCTATCATGTAGCAAGTGCTAAGTGTTGGTTAAACAGGTGAATGCTAGTGCGGTCCCCAGGTTTGAGGCAGGGGAGATGGGGTTTCCCTGCCTGTCTGCCTCCTCCCTACCATACAACCTTCCTTTTCTTCCGTCCGCTGTGTGCACACCCCTCTCTCCTGTCTCCCCAGTTCCCGAGCTGCCCGTCCAGGTCCAGGCCCCACCACCCGAGGACTCCAGCTCAGACTCCGACTATGAGCACTATGACTTCAGTGCCCAGCCCCCTGTGGCCCTGACCACCTTCTACAGTGAGTGTCCAGGCCTGGCTCCCAGAGGCTACCTCCTGCCCCAGCGATTGGACAGCCAGTGGGGGACCTTCAGTGGGTGTGTCCAGGTCAAACACCCCCCCCCACGCCATGATGTGGACTGAGCCCCTTTCTTATCCATTGGATTGACTGCAAATACTCCTGCATTGAAGTATTCGAAGTTCTTTGTGACCTTGCACTGAGTGGTTCCAATACATGAGCTAAGGAATTCTGCTGGCTAGAATGCGAACCTGAAATCTGACAGGACTGAGCCCTCCAGACTCCCAGACCTAAGTTCTCGTCCATGGTCAGCCTCACCTGGCCGCCTCATGCCCCAGGGACCCCCGCCCTCCCCCTAGGCTCACAGGACAGGCAGGCTGAGCCTTCACCCCTCCCCACTACCTGCAGATTCCCAGCGGCACCGGGTCACCGATGAGGAAGTCCAGCGGAGCAGGTTCCAGATGCCCCCGTTGGAGGAAGGTGAGTCAGGCTGGGGGAGGGGGGCGGTGGAGTGCAGGGAGGAGCACGGGGAGGAGGCTTTAACAGCCCTTAGGGAACTCTGAGCTCTGGTGGCTTAGTGGCAAGGAATTGCACTGCCAGCCCAAAGATGTGCAGTTCTAATCCACCAGCTGCTCTGTGGGAGAAAGGTGGGCAGTCCCCTCCTATGCTATTTACTGCTTCTGAAAATCCCCTGGAGAGCCAGCAGTGGGTCAGTTCTGACCCAACAGTGCACAACAGCAGAGAGCTCTAGTGCGTTACTCGTGAGAGGCTGCACTGTTAACCCAATGGTACACAGTTCAAATCCACCAGCTGCTCCACAGGAGAAAGATGGGTAATCTCCTCCTGTGCGATTTACTGTTTCTGAAAACCCACTGGAGGGTCAGCTATGACGCCATGGTACTCAGTAACCACTGGGAAGCTCTCGTGGCCTAATGGTAAGGTGTTGTACTGTCAACCCAAAGATATGCAGTTCAAATCCACCATTCATCAGCTGGTCTGCAGGAGATAGATGGACAGTTTCCGCCCATGTGATTACTGCCTTTGAAAACCCACTGGAGTGTCAGCTAAGAGTTTATTCAGCTTGATGGTACATAATGCTACTGAGTAGGTTAATCATTGGGCTGCTAACAGAAAGGTTGGTGGTTCCAATCCAACTGCCAGTGGAAGAAAAGTGGGCAGTCTCCTGTAAAGGTTTACAGCCTTAGAAACTCTATGGGGCAGTTCTGATCGGTCCTCTTGCCAGATCAGGGTTGCTGTGTGTTAGAATCACCTTGACAGCAGTGGCTATTAGCAGTAAGTTCTTTCTTAAGTCTAACTTAAAGTCCTCTTGCTGCTTCCCCATACTCCTGCTCCGGCCCAGGGCTCCAGGAGCTCCCTGTCTCCTGGCCCCACCTGCCAATCCCTGGTCGTTGTGTTGCAGATCCTCCCTCACTAGGTCCTCGGCATCACTCCGGGCACAGCAGCAGCTCCAGCACATCTTCTGGGGACAATTACTGCAACAGCCCCAGTAGCAAGGCCCGTCCGTGGAATTCTCAAGTCTTCTCTTCGGAGGGCACCCCCCTCCTGCCGCAGCCCCCTAACTTGGAACTGGCTGGCTCCCAGCCCATCCTTTCAGGTAAGCTGGGCCCGGCAGGGTGTTCCTGTGGGTCCCCAAGCAGGACTCTCCAGGGCGGGCTGACCTCTGAGTTCTAGTCTCAGCTCTGCAGCCTTTCTCTGCCTCTGGGCCTCTGTCTCCTCCCTGACAAGCGGGGAGCCCCCTGAGCCAGCAGCCTGAGCAGGGCCTCGCAGCATGGGCAGTCCAGAGCGGGATCTCCCAGCGGAAGGTGACTGGTTCCCGGGTTTCCAGCAGGGCCCTCCGCTGATGACAGCTCTAGCACCTCGTCTGGGGGAGAGTGGTACCAGAACTTCCAGCCCCCGCCACAGCCCCCCTCCGTGGAGCAGTGTGAGGGTCCAGGTGCCACAGGCTGGGGGAAGGGGGTCCTGGGAGACGGAGACAGGGTGGGCTAGGGAATGGAGAAGAAGGAGAGCTCTGGGGTGGCTGGGTGTAGTGGCCTGAGAGAGGGGAGGAGAGAGAGGGAAAGGGATTTTTAATTAAAATATGTAATATTATTAAATATATATTAGATACAGTAATATGTATTTATTACTGGTTACTGTGAGTTGCCGGTGACTCAATAGTGCATAACAATGACAACATATTATATGTATTGTATTTATATATAATAGCTAAAAGAGAATGTGAGTAGGTGAGAAAGTAAATGTGATTAGGCTGAAGACAGACTCAACAGGCTGAAACAGGTTGCCTTGAGAGGAAGTGAGCTCCCCGTTAGTGGAGTCATTCAAGCAGAAGCAGCCAGATGTCCCGTTGGGGGAGTGTTGTGTCAGAGTGGTTCCCAGTTCCCATTCATTCATCATATACCCTGTGTTATTGTGGGGTTACAGTGCTGAACCTCACTGACAAAGGTCCCTCGGGGCTGACAGTCTAGAGAAGGAGAGAGCAGTGGCTAAGATGGTGAGATGGATTCAGACAGCAGCACAGGGGGTTTGCAAGGTGGACTGGGCCCCATTCAGCTCTGTCCCCTGGGGATCAGGGAGGATGGCTGAGCCTGTGTCTGACCCGAGCCCTCTGTCCCACAGGGTCCCCTAGCCCCAAGCCTGATTCCACAGATGATGACTACGATGACATTGGAGCCACCTAGACCAGCTGTGGGTCCCAGGGGCACCTCGGGCCTCTTGTTCTGCCCGCTTCCTCTGCCCACCATTTCCTCACAGACCACCACCCCCCTGTGGGGGGCTTGATCCGAATTAATAAGCATCACCTGGACAGAAGAAAGAAAACATCATACACTGTCCCCTCAGTCTCCATCAGATGAGCCTTCTGCATCAAGAAAAACCTGCTTGGACAGCCTGCCCGGCTCCACACAGTCCCACAAAGGCAGGTGCTGCCTCTGAGAGGTAGTGAGCTCTCTGTCTGCGAGGGGAACAAGCAGAGTGGGTCCCACCTCTTGACAGGCAGCATGGAGGGGCTGGACAGATGGCTTCTGAGCCCCTTCTGACCCTTGGTGCCCAGTTCTATGTTCTCAGGACCTGGAAACACTGAGAGGGACAGAAAGGAGTCCCCGCTGTGTGCTGCCCAGGAAAACGCCCTGTGCTGTTGTCCCCTCACAGATGGTCACTGAAGGGCAAAGTTGATCCAGGCCCTCAAGATTGGCTGCTGCTCCTAGCCTGGCAGTACAAGCTCCCCTGGGTGCCCCCAGGTGACAGCAAGCAGGACAACTGGGACCCACACAGGGGCTGGGCCCTGAGGTTGGCACTGACTCTAGACACCCTTGGAGCCCACCTGTTCTGACTATCCCTGGACATCTTGCTCATTATCCTGAGATCCCAGTGGCCAGGACCCAGAGGTGGGGACCCAGGTCCTGTGGGGCAAGGGTGAGAGTTCTTTTCAAGGAGTGGTTTGCACTGAGCCCCGAGTTCCCGTCATCTCACCAGCTGGCTGGAGGCTCCCAATGGACAGACACCATGAATGTGCTGTATGTACGCCTGGGCTGTCTCTCCCAGGCTCAAGGGAGAGCAAGAGGCCCGGGCCCGACTCTGGGGTCTTGCTCAGACTATCCTTAGATTAAACCAAAATGCTGAAGGACACTGGAGCATGGCGTGGCGAGTCTTTTGTACCACATTGTGTTCTGTGTTCACACATTCTTAGCAAAGATTTTTTGGAGGGAAGGAAGCACATACTGATCGCATCGTCAACAGGCAGAATGGCAGAGTGGGGACAAGAAACACTGCAAACATCTCCTTCAACTATAGGTTCCCCCAAGTGAGGCTCCCATCCCAGGACATGCTGTTACAGCACATTCATGCATGCCCCATCGGGGATCACCAGAGCCCATCTCTCCTTGAGCTAATATTAGTATATGGGACATACAGCTTCATATTAGTTTATCATAATGTGAATATAGTATTTAGATATCATTTTAGATACTAATTTATATTTAATTATATTAGTTTATTATAATTGTACTCGTTTATAATACTAATGTAGCATTATGTTACATTACATTACGCTGCATCACGTTACATTACATTACATTACATTATTTTGAAGCAGGAGTGACATCCACTTCCTAAACAACATGCCTCTGGAAACTCTATGAACTTTGAGAAATGATGATAGTCATAGAAAGGCTTCAGGTCTTTTGTTCATAGGGTCACTATGAGTTGTGCTCTACCCGATGGCAATCAACAATATTAATATTATTATATTATTTTTGTTGATTGCCTTTGAGTCAAGCATGATTCATAATGACCCTATGAACGAAGGCCTGAAGCCTCTCTACAGCTAGCGACATTTATCAAAGCTCATGGAGTTTCCAGAGGTGTGTTAT